CCTTTGCATGGCTAAAGGAATACTTCTGATTGGTTCGTCATCTTCTGTGGGGATTTGATATATCGCCTATAATCAAAAAAAAATACTATTAGTTTGATGTAAAAAGGTTTATTTTTAAATCAAATAGAATCTTCAACCTTGCGAAAATATTTTATGCTATATAATAATTGCAACTCGGCATTTAAATACTTTGGGTCATTTATAATGCGAACAAAGGCCGTAATATTACAGGTATTATTTTCTATTAACAGACGAGGACGAATCTTTGATGGGACAAACAGCTTATTTTGTTCGTAAAACTGCGTAAATCCCCAGTCTGATTCTTCAGCAGTGAAACGATGATACGCATCTATAATTAAAAATTACGATATTAGTAACATGAATTATCAAGTGATAAATAATTTTAATACGTACAATGAACAACACAGAATTTTGGGTATTCAGGATTCCATAATGCCAAAGCAAATTGCACACAGCAATGCCAACCGGCGGGTGCTTCTTTTTTATCAGCAAAATCCAGATAAATTGAAACAGCTTTTGGATTATTGTTTCCACATGGGAAAAGCAAAATGCGCCTAAATTTTAATATAATTAGAGTATTAAGTTATATTCAAGTTGTATATTTAAGTGAACCTACCATTTCCAACCTCCAGCTTCAAATTCAGGACCTGTTGTCCTCCTTTCTAAACTTGTCCAATTAGTGATTTGCCACGTATAATCTTGGAAATCCTCAATTTCACATTGATAGCCAAGATATGGCATATTATTTGCAATGTCTTCATAGTGGTATGACATATTATTTGCGATGCCTTAGTCAGCAATTGTGAAATATAGCAACAGATAAAACATTAACTTCGTAACGCAATTATAGTTAAAAATTTTTTTCAAGATTTATGATTAACTAACTATACTGATTATAATGCTATAAACATACCATAATTATTTTCAATTTCTTCTTCAGAGTCTGTAATTTATGAAATATAGCAACAGATAAAACATTAACTTCGTAACACAATTATAGTTAAAAGATTTTTTTCAAGATTTATGAACTAATTATACTGGTTATAATTCATGATGAACTAACTATACTGATTATAATGCTATAAACATACCATAAGTAATTATTGTGTCGCCAAAGTCTGTAATTTATGAAATATATCAACAGATAAAACATTAACATCGTAACACAATCATGGTTAAAAGATTTTTTTTCAAGATTTATGATGAACTAATTATGCTGATTATAATGCTATAAACATACCCAAGTAATTATAGTGATAGCCTTCAATGTCATTGTCTGCAATTTATGAAATATAGCAACAGATAAAACATTAACTTCGTAACGCAATTATAGTTAAAAGATTTTTTTTTCAAGATTTATGATGAACTATTTTTGTGTTTATACGATTATAATGATATATATAAACATACCATAATCAATTTCAATGTCTTCTAAGTAGGCTATAATTTATGAAATATAGCAACAGATAGAACATTACCTTCTAATTTCGTAATACAATTATAGTTTTCATTTATGATGAACTAATTATACTGATAATAATGCTATAAACATACCGTCCATAA